CCATGGTGCCATTTCACCCATAAAATTTTAGCTCTCTGGTTTAATTCAAGATTATTTTCTTTAAATCAACGCTGCACTACATTATATATTGTCAATATATAAAATATATTTCAAAATGACCAATAATTTGCTTGGAAACACAGAAAAAAAGCGTTTAGTTGAAGAGAGTCTCAAGCAAGATGTTACCTCCAGTGAAAACAAAGAGAGACTGACGCCTGTTTGCTGTATTAAGAGGCTGGATGCCGCGCATTAAACTTGTCACTTTACCTTCAATTTTGTTCAATAATTGTTAAAATGACTAAAAAATTGAATATTAAACTTTAAAATTATTGAATAGTATAAACTTCTTGATATTTACAAAAATAGTAAGGAATTTAAGCCCTAGAACCGATTAATGTATTGGCGGACTGATACTAAAGCTGGTTGCCCGGTCAGTGCAAGCGAAAACATGTTGAGGTCGGTTCGTAAGAAGTTCGTTAAGCGAAATTTTTTTCGTTAACCGAATTGAAGATCCTTATGGAAGGCAGTTCGTTAATCGAAATTACGTTAACCGAGGTGTTCGTTAAACGAGGGGTCACTGTATATATATATATATATATATATATATATATATATATATATATATATATATATATATATATATATATATATATATATATATATATATATATATATATATATATATATATATATATATATATATATATATATATATATATATATATATATATATATATATATATATATATATATATATATAAAGAAATGCACCTGGAAATTAAGGTTTAGTGTGAAATTTCTTCAGTTTAAATGTATATCTTAAGCTTATTTCTTACCTGAACTAGGTAGTCATTGATTATAATCATAAGGTCCTGTTTGTCATGCAGTTCTTCCATGAAGAACTCAGTAAATCTATTCCGCAAACCAGCTGGTAATTCTTTCTTTCCTACATCAGTAGCTGGGTTCATACAAGCAAAAAGACGAAATTCTGGATGTCTGGTCACAGGTTTGTTGTCTCCTCGCTCTAGCAAAGTCAGGGATCCAGAATTTGATTCAAGAAGTCCAGACAAACATTCCAGAGTCTCTGCACTTGCCAAATTGATTTCATCAAGCAACACCCATTCCCCTAACAATGGAGAAAGAGTAAAAGTTAAAAAAAAACTCCTGTAAACAAACCTAGGCTGGTTAACTACAGCTCGTCAGTTACTTATATAATTTGAAAACTAAAATTTTTTCAGGTCTCTGAAAAAAATTGCTTTCAGTGCGCAAGACCCATGTATACGCTATGCTGCTGATACCCACATAGGAAAAAAGAAAACATAAATTCCCAAGCGCATTTGTATACGTACTGTAATTCACATGTCCAGGGATAAGTAAAATCTGCACTCTCCCCTGAAGATGTGAATTACACAAAAGCAATTGGAAACTTTTTGTTTTCTTTTATTCATATGTGGATCTACAGTGTGTGTGTGTGTGTGTGTGTGTGTGTGCAAACAAATATGAGTGTGGAGACACAAACACATACAAATAAATAATACTGGGAAATACTCACAAATAATCAGAAACAAATGTATATTAAAAATTTTGAGTCTACACTCAAGTCTACTCCGTGCTTTATTAATAACAAAGCACGGAGTGGACTTGATGTGTTAAGGCAATAGGGAGTGTTAAAGGGAAAAGTAATAGAGTGATCTAATGGCATTTTTTCCAGGTTTTTATAAAAACATATACTGTACCTGTACAGCAAGTTTCATGTTAGTAACTAACTATTATTGCATTTTGCAAAGTAAAATTGACAATTTCTAAGCCAGTCTAAAAGATACCAGTGTGGGTGTCAATTACTTTAACACCATTTTTTAGCTCAAATGAAAAAATATCTACTGTACTCTACCTTTAACTGGGAGATTTTTTTAGGGATGGGTAAGTAATAATAAATAAGACTGAAAAGGAAACGTCATCAACAAAGTCTTCTCTTATCTCAGATAAATAAATTTAATGAAAAAATTTAACAATTATCAAGCAAAAACAGAGCATGGAACTTTAGTGTCACACTGTTTTTTCTAAATACGAGATAATGCAATTTTTTTGGTGTGTACAAATTTCACTTATTTAGCTGGGAGGATTATGCAACAGTGAAAAAGGATCAGTGTTGCCTTTAAAATTTAGAAGTGAAAAAATTAGAACTAGAAAAAAATTAAATGAAACACAAAGAAGACTTTAACCCTTAACGGTAACAATATGTGGCCAATAGTGCAACTGCAATGTCCTTCCGATGAGAACAGCCATTTTGTTTACATGGTGCACCAATTTTAGCATTCATAAAGCATGTCACATGTCCCAGTAGACCTTTTCACATTATCCACACCTCAATAGGGCTCTCAGTTGCCTTGGTCATCAAGGAACACCCACATTTTTTGCCATTTATGCCAGACTGGCCCACCTCCAGCTTCTCCCCTCTAATAGCATGGCCTCCACACAGCTACTTAACACACTGTACCAATGCACCATGGCTAACAAATGTAAGTAATTGATCTGTTTTAACAAAATTCATATTTCTATGTGGATATCCCATAGCCACAGTATAAGGGTTAAGGGAAAATATGAAACAGATAGGAAATCCACAAATGAAGGGATAAGATGAAACCTGAACATGTAAGTCACACTCTCAGTGGGGGTATAGTATAAACAGGTTTGAAGAAGAGAAAGAATTTTGGGTAAAGATAACACTTCGTCTAACAGCAGTACTCCTTTTGGCTAGAAGACAGGTAAAGTACAGTATAATTATACAAATACTACATACTATTTACATGTACTGTACATTGAAAGATTATGACAGTAAGTTCGTACTATACTAACCTTCTTGAATAGCCTTGATTAAAACTCCCTCAATGAATGAGAAGGCGAGGGCACTTTGGGCATGTTGTGCTTGATCCTTCAATGTTGATATTTTTAATTTTAGCTTCAGCCATCTACCCGACAGGGATTTCGAGGCATTTGTGTTCATTTGTGGTTCTCCTTTGCTAGGATCTCCAATCTTCTCGGCTGCTTTTTTCTGTGTATGCTCCATCAAAATAAATAAATCCATCCATCTTTGGTTTACAAAACACACCATAATGTGTTGAAGAAATTTGTTATTTTTTGTAGCTGAAAATGTGGTAACAAAGAGGTCTTCAAATTCTTGTCTCACCGGTGCAACAATGGTTTTCATCTCAACTGGTTTGAATCCTCCAAGGAGATCAGCTGAGTCACTTTGCTGACTCAGGTTAATAACACGTAGCTTGTGCCGGGTCTGGTGAGCCAAGTACTGTACAGTTGATGTTTTCCCCGTTCCTGTTTCTCCGACTATTAACACTGGTTCTTGGTTCATTATGGCTACACCAATCCTCTCTAACAAGCACACTGCGGGTCTTGTGAACGAAAATGTAACCTTCTTCTTTCCACCTATTGATAAGGTATTCGTAGTCTTTTTCAACAACTTGGCTCTCTGGCCTATGATTAGCTGGCTTGGCAGCTGAGTTACTTCTGGTTTATATTGTGTACAGAAGTACTCTACCTCTGCTTTTGTGCGGTTCATGAATGAGCCAATGTGTAAGGTGAAGGTGAAGCGTGTCATGGGATTTGGCACTGCTGCGCAAAAGCAATCAAGAGCTTCCTGAAAAGACATACAATCTAGAATGAGAACTCAATATATTTTGAAGTTGATTTTCTAATACCGTATAGTACATGAAATGGATCAACAACTTTGTATTATTTCAAATGCTTACACATTGGTAAAAATACTGTACTGTTTAATTATGAAAGATTGGAAAGTAAAAGATGAGAGGTTTTAAGGAGAATAAATAAAGGGGTAAATGGCATTATTAAGAAACAAAAAAAATTAAGACTATGAACTGCCAGCTCATATTGTATTAAAGGCAGGACAATAACTGAGAAAGCACAATACTGTACAGACTTTTTCTATTTTCTTCCAATCCATTCATAATTATTTATGAAGAATTTGCTTACAACACATAATCACTAAGGGCTCTTTGAGTACTGTAATTCAAAACAGCAAGAAATCCAATAATCTAAAATGACTGCAAAAGTTACCAGTCTTCTCTAGGAAATTATTAAAAGTCTGGAGAATGTATACAGTATAAATTCTGCCTACTAACTGGTCATGTTCAGAACTTTCCTATTCCGGCAAAGGGAGATGGTGCTTTTTAATACAGGATAAGCATGTTTTCTCCAAAGCAATCATGCAAGTTTTGATTTCACTCAAATGAATTTCACTCAGTAACACCAACTGCTATAAAATTTTATATTACATAAATTCCTCAGTTGTACATTCATAACTTTATAGGAAGAGATTTAATGAACCTGAAATCTACAAATCCTTAACAATACCACAATATAACAAAAATTAAAAATATTACTTGGAATGCTCTTCTAGCTAATGGCATATCTGTATCATCAAGGTGAGATGCCACTCTTGTGCACCATTTCAACAGGTCACGGACTGACACCAAACGACCAGAAACCTTGACAGAAGTCATATCTACACAGTCAGCCTGACTGTTACCATCACTGTCATCAATATGCTGCCCTGCTGACAACATCAAGTACACTGCAACCAGTTTTTCTGATACAGATTCCAAATCTGGCCATCTGAAATTAACAAAAACAAACATAAAAACTTGAAGCACAATATGTAGTAGTTTATTAGTTTACTTTTAACCATAGTATTGTATAATATTTAGCAAGAGAATTTCTGCACGAATATTGCCATGGCCTGTGAAAAACATATATGAGGTCTATCCAAAGAGAAACCGAAGTTTTTAAATAGTGCGCCAACAACCCGGTGCAGCTTGCTCACGAGGGGAGCGCTGTGTAGCGGTGACCTTAACCATTAGTTTAACACTAGCCTCATCACGCCACGTCAATTAGTCATCGAGCTACACGTGCTAGAGTGAACGTGTGTTTAGTGCACTTGGCGATTTGTTGCAAGTTGAACAATGAAGGATCTTGAAGAGCAACGTGTTTGCGTGAAATTCCGTTTCAAATTGGGAAAAACTTTTAAGGAGACTTTTCAAATGTTGCAACAGGCTTATGGGGAGGATTGTTTGAGCAGTACGCAATGGCACGTGTGGTAACAGCGTTTCAAAAGGGGAAGAACATCCACCGAAGACGATCCCAAATCTGGACGTCAGTTGCTCAAATGTGGAGGTGATGTTGATCGTCTTTTTTGATTGGAAGGGCGTCGTTCATCATGAGTTTGTTCCACGTGGTCAGACAGTCAATAAAGAGTTTTACTTGGAGGTCCTGAAGCGTTTGAGGGAGGCAGTGCGAAGGAAGAGGCCTGAGGCGTGGACAAACAAGACCTGGATGCTGCACCACGACAATGCACCTGCTCACGCGTCACTCCTTATCTGTGACTTTTTGGTGAAGCATGAGACGACTATCGTCCCCCAGCCGCCCTTCTCTCCAGATTTGGCCCTTGCGGACTTTTTTTTGTCCCCAAAGTTGAAATCCACCTTGAAAGGTCATCGATTTCAGACGATAGAAGAAAATTCGCTATGAGACCTGCGCACCAGCCCTCAAAACTCGTCCCAGAACTGGCAAAAATGTTGGGAGCGGTGTATCAGCAGTGGAGGGGAGTACTTTGAAGGAGACAAGTCTGATTAAGTTGTCAGTAAAGCAATAAATTTGTTTTTTAAAAAGTTCAGTTTCTTTTTGAACAGACCTCGTACTGTACATACAGTTAAATGGTACATTTAATCTCTACAACATAAGTTACAAAACATCTTCCATTAATGGAAATCAAAATAATCCATTTACAGTATTGTATAGATTTGTTTATGTACATAATAAAATTTTCCATGCATCAGAAGGGATAAATGACATACATTTGGTCCCTCAGTTAACAAACGGTTCGATTAATGAAATACCTCCCATAAGGATCTTCAATTCGGTTAATGAACAAAACTTCGATTAACGAAAACCTTACAACAAACATGTTTTGTTGTGAGCATCAGCTGATGGGCTTGTCTGCCAATTCAGTAAACTGTTCTATGTTTACATTCGTTTCCAGTGGAGTAAATATCAAGAAAATTGTGCTCTTTAAAATTTTTGCATTTTCTATATTAAAATTATTGGTCATTCTAAAATTTAGCCATCCAAGCTGTCTACATAAAGTTTTTCAACTATTATTTTTGGCTCGATATATGTAACTTTATTCATTTATTGAAACTTATTTACATGCACACACTGTCCTAAGGGCAAAGCTGTACTGTACATGTAATCAAAATAATGTAATGTACAAAATGATTTCTAAAATTTTTGTCTAGTGCAAACTATCACTATCTTATAAGAATTCCAGCAATGTAAATTATATTCTCCCCGGTCACTTCTATGACATTTTATAAGCAAAAAACAAAAACGCAATCTAAAGGACATAAATAAACAAATAAATACTTCACTAGACCTTCCATGCTAACTGTCAAACATGTCACTGTCACCCCTCCCTCCCTCCCTTCCCTCTCCCCCCTACCAGCCAGGGTTTGGTGGTTATACAGTAGGCTTACAGTTTTTATCTTATATAATATCACAGACTAAAGTTAGGAGAATATAATTTGCATTGCTGGAATCCTTGCAAGACAGTGAATAATTTGAATATAAATGCCATATATTTTGCACGAGATAAAAATTTTAGTATACTAGTGGAGTACTGTACATTTTAATAATGTACAGTTTTCAACTGCATTTTTGGGTAGATTTACATACATTTCTTCATTTATTCTCATTCATTTACATGCACACACCATACTAAAAGAAATGTAAAAGAAATAAATGACCTAAGTGCAAACCTGTACTGTACATGTACTAAATGATTCGGTTCTAAAATTGTTGTCTAGTGCAAATTATAGCTTGTTTATATTCAAATTAATCACTATCTTACAAGAATCCTCACAATGTAAATTATATTCTCCCAGGTCATTTCACTGGCATTTTAAAATGAGAGAAGCTTAGTCACTTAAGGATTGTTAAATAAACACACATGAGACCTACGGCTCCAACTATCAAACATATCACTTCACCTCCTGCTCGCTCGCTCCCTCCCTCCCTCTCCCCCAGCCAGGGTCTTAGGCTTACAGTTTTTATCTTATATAATACCTCAGACTAAAGTTAGAATATAATTTGCATTGCTGGAATCCTTGCAAGACAGCGAATAATTTGAATATAAACGTCATATATTTTGCACAAGAGATAAAAATGAATCACCTGTAGTGCATTACAGTAGTGATTTAAGAGTAAGAGTGTATATGTACATAAATATATAGTGATTTAAGGGCGATTTAGGGAAATTTTAGGTGTGTTTTTGACTTTATGCATTTTTGGCTTTACTTACTTATCTGTGAGCTGGAACCAATTACCCAATATCCCATTGAAATAATGGATTCGGTTAACGAACGACTCTGTGGAACGAATTTTGTTTGTTAACCGAGGGACCACTGTACTAGATGTAAGGGGATGGACATCGTGAATGCAGCAGGGTGAGTGAGTGATAAGACAGCATGTTGTTGAATGGCATAAGGGGAAATTACAGTAGATTTTAATTTATGTAAATAGGGCCCAATCTACAGATTTTTGAGCCATTCTTCAACATACCCCACTGAATTGTGGGGCAATTCATAATCTGCACAAAATCAAAATCCTTCTCTTCCACAATAAAAGAAAATGAAATTCTCCACAGAAAAATACCCACATACTTCATAAAGTACAGGGATAAAGTACTTTATTATTGTACTACACCGGACTTATTGGGGCGGACCTCAGTCCAGAAAAAATTAATTGGGGGAGGGGGATCTGAACATAACCATGGGGGGGTCTGAACATGCTTTGGGGATCTGAACATAATCATGCATCTCTGCTAATCATGCTTTGGGGATCTGAACATAACCATGCTTTGGGGGATCTGAACATAACCATGCTTTGGGGGGATCTGAACAAAGCTATCTGAACATGCCCTCCATGCTTTGGGGGAACCATGAATCTCATCAATCCATAATCTGGGGGATCTGAACATAACCATGCTTTGGGGGATCTGAACATAACCATGCTTTGATCTGAAAAAAATCACGATAGACACAAGCTAGGTTGTCAACAACTGTTTTCCTTGGTATGATTATTTCATTCTCTAAGTGTTATAAGCACTGAAAGTACAGTAATCCCTCCGTTAACCAGAATCTTCAATCCCTGGAACTTTCCAACAGCTGAAAAAAAATTAGCATTCCGAGAAATTCCGAAAAAATCTATACATTCCAGGCATGGCGGCGAACTTCCGAGGATTGCATCTTGTGCATTTCCTGAGAATTCCGAGAAAATGTCTCCGTAGCAGACGTGTGAGTGATGAATCTCACAGCTTATCTCCTCAAACTGTTGCATCATGACACTCTTAGTTCATTGTCTGCTGCAATTGTATCCCCTCCCTCTTTTTTTTTTTAAGTGGCTCAATCTGTAAATGGCCACTTCCAGAGTTTAACCATGACAAACAATATACAATAACCTGCAATCTCTCATTTTTAGTGATAGGCATCTTGGGCATGTTTGTCAGTTTTGAATTATTACTCGGGCACAGGTCAAACGACCCACAACGGGGCCTGGGAGGACGAAAAAATAAAAACAAAAAGAAATTGAATATAGAGAAAAAAAAGGGTTATATACAGTCGGCCCTTAACATATGGGGGTTTAGCATTCACGGATTTGCAAATACGAGGATTGCCCTGCCGGAGGAATATTCTGTACATTGAAGTACATTCAAATCGCGCGCCATTCAACTCGCGCGCGGCACCGAACACGGGACACCGCCAGCTCCCGCAACCTCTCACTGTAACCACGCTTGTGATGACATCAGCATTGTAGTTGCAAAAATATTACATTTCAGTGAATGTATTATATCAAGCACAGTATGAATAGAATATCACTAATATAACAGTATTTTAACCGAAAACTATTAGAAAACGAGTAACATATCTTGGACATCGGAAGGTTAGGTAAAGTCTTTTGTTTTCATGTAGTTTATCCTAATTTACATTGAAATACATTACATTTCAGCAAAACTACTATTTATTTCTGAGAATATGGAAATGTAATATTTTTGCTGAAATGACGTACGTATTACAGTGGAAAGTGACAATAGCAATGACTTTCGCTTTCTTTCGTTCAAAAGATGTTACCGTAATTGCTTTTCGAATGGTTTTCAGTTAAAAAACTGTTGTATTACAATTATATTCTATCCTAACTCACTTGTGATGCAACAGATTTTTTAACTGAAAACCATTCGAAAAGCGATTACGGTAACATCTTTTGAACGAAAGAAAGCGAAAGTCAGTGTTTTCGTCACGATTTTATCCCACTTTCCACTGTAATACGTACGTCATTTCAGCAAAAATATTACATTTCAGTGAATGTAGTATATCAAGCACAGTATGAATAGAATATCATTGTAATATAACAATATTTTAACCGAAAACTATTAAAAAAACGAGTAACATCTCTTGAACATCGGAAGGTTAGGTAAAGTCTTTTGTTTTCGTCATGTATTTTATCCTATTTCACATTGAAATACATCACATTTCAGCAAAAATACTATTTATTTCTGAGAATATATTCACTCAGGTGCAGTTTAGGTAAAATATACATGTGATGTAACATTTTTTTTAACTGAAAACGATTCGAAAAACACGTACCCTCTAGCCCTGTTCAAGGAGAATACTGGGAGGAGCTGTTTGGTGCTTAAGACGATGACAAGGAAAATGATTTTGATGGATTTTAATGAAAATATTCAGAAATATGGTATCGTAGTATTTATTGAAGTGAATTAGGATAGAATATTATTGTAATACAACAGTAGTGACGATGTGGAGGAGGCGGAGGGATAGAGCGGAGAGAAGTGGTGACTGGCGGGAGCAGGGACGAGTGGAGATGCCAGCCAGTACATTAAAGGTGTACAGTATTAATTGTTTTTATAGCTCTTTTTGCATTTATTTCTGAGAATATGGAAATGTAATATTTTTCCTGAAATGACGTACGTATTACAGTGGAAAGTGGGATAAAATTGTGACGAAAGCAATGACTTTTGCTTTCTTTCGTTCAAATGATGTTACCGTAATCGCTTTTCAAATGGTTTTCAGTTGTGGGATTATGAGGCTAATGATAGGATAAAATATTATTGTAATACAGTACGGTACAACAGTTTTTTAACTGAAAACCATTCGAAAAGCGATTACGGTAAAATCTTTTGAACAACGAAAGAAAGCGAAAGTCATTGTCTTCGTCATGATTTTATCCCACTTTCCACTGTAATATGTATGTCATTTCAGCCAAAATACTTGTATTACATTTCCATATTTATTTCTGAGAATATATTCATTCAGTCACAGTTAAGGTAAAATATACTTGTGATGTAATATTTTAATGAAAATACGATATCGTAGTTTTCTTTTGTTTCAAATTTAATTAACAAAGATTGATGTTTCAAATGTAATGAACAAAAATTTATGTACAGTATCTATAAATAAACTTTAAAAAATTAATACTTTGTTTTACATCGTCCTGTGCATACCATACCATGCATTTGGCTACTTTGGGCTTGCTATGATGATGCAAGAGATCTGCCCTGGCAACTGTACCGACACTCATAGCTGGTGGTGCGTCGTTTCCATTGTTTACTGGTATTTACCGGTAAATATTTTTTAACCTAACGAAACTATTACCCGTTTAGAGGTCGACCCCCAATTTTTTGCCAAATAATTTGGTCTTAAAAACTCGAACTACACACAGGTACAGTATTACCCCGCCTAACGCGGTTTCATTTAGCGCGTTTTATCATATACGCGGTGCCTCGCCAGAGCTGAACTTTCACTTAACACGGATTTTTTCATCATATACGCGGTGAGTGTCCGGCTCGAGACGCTATTTTTAGATTTGCCCCACCCGCCACCCTGCCTGACTGCCTGTTTTAGCTCAGAAAATTCATACAAATTACCCGGCCAGAATATAATTTACATTGCTGGAATTCTTATAATTTGGTGATCATTTTGAATATAAACATCATATATTTTGCATTAGACATACAAATTTTAGATAAAATGTTTACTCTTGAGTAAATATGTTATCTTTTGTGCAAAATATATGACATTTATATTCAAAATATTCCTGGTCTTACAAGGAATCCAGCAATGTCAATTATATTATCCTAACTTTAGTTTGAGGTATTATTTATTACAAAAAAGTTAAGTATTCTGGTTTTCCCACACATCTCCTTGGGACGGTTGGTGGGGGGTGGGGGGGAGGGAGGGACCGACCGACCATCTGTTACCCTGTGAAGAATATTTTTTTTTTTTATTAACTGAAGATATTTGTTTTAGCTCATAAAATTCATACAAATTACCCGGTCAGAATATAATTTACATTGCTGGAATTCTTATAATTTGATGATCATTTTGAATATAAACATCATATATTTTGCATTAGACATACAAATTTTAGATAAAATTTTTAATCTGAGTAAGTATGTTATCTTTTGTGCAAAATATATGACATTTATATTCAAAATATTCCTGGTCTTACAAGGAATCCAGCAATGTCAATTATATTATCCTAACTTTAATCTGAGGTATTATTTAATACAAAATGTTAAAATTTATTTTTTTCACCCCACATCTCTTGAAGGGACGATTGGTGGGGGGTGGGGGGAGGGTTGGGACTGACCGCGCGGTTGGAAGAGGGGGAAGGCAAGGTGGGGTACTTTGATTGACAGATAGTGTCCTGAAGATTATTTTTTTTTTTATTAACTGAAGATATTTGTTTTAGCTCATAAAATTCATACAAATTACCCGGTCAGAATATAATTTACATTGCTGGAATTCTTATAATTTGATGATCATTTTGAATAGAAACATCATATATTTTGCATTAGACATACAAATTTTAGATAAAATTTTTAATCTGAGTAAGTATGTTATCTTTTGTGCAAAATATATGACATTTATATTCAAAATATTCCTGGTCTTACAAGGAATCCAGCAATGTCAATTGTATTATCCTAACTTTAGTTTGAGGTATTATTTATTAAAATTTAGTGGTTTTCCCCCAAAAATTTCTCAGAGAGGGAAGAGCCGGCAGTGTAGTGTGAGAGGGGGAGGGAGTTGAGTCCATTATTTGAATGGACATTAACTTGGCGACTGTATTTCTCTATTTCTCTTAAGTATTAATTGTGTGCATGTACCATCATAAAATTAAGATGTTATTTTTACTACAACATAGTTATGTGTCTTCAAAAAGTGGAGTTTGGTGGTCGGGCCGGTTTCTATTGGAATTAATCCCATATGTTCTGTTGTTCACTTAACGCGCATTTCACTTAACACGGGACCCTCTGGGTTCTATTGACCGCGTTAAGTGGGGTACAACTGTATATACAGTAAATAAGGACATGGGGGGCCAGGGCTTTTTTAGGGGGGGGGGGGCAGCAAAAGTCCACGGATTTTTAACATTCACGGGTATCTCTGTTACCTAACCCTCACGTATGTTAAGGGCCGACTGTACTGTGTTAATCAACACAACGAAGATGCCGGAAAACCAGCTTTTTAAAATGAGACATAGTATAAGTATGGAAACACAGAAGAAGGCAGAGCATTCCACAGTTTAGCCGTGTGACCCAAAAGGAATGTGCATGCACATTCATTGGCCACACTTAACTGATATTGCACTATCAGAAATAAGGTACCAACCTGGCAGCAATGAGCTGGAGTAATTCTGAGCGACTTAGGGTTTCCAGCACGACTTTGGTCCATAATTTATCAAGAATTCCAGCACACCCACTGATCATCTTGGTCCCTGCCAGAGTACGACGGGTGGCAAACAACTGGAAATCTGGGTGGGCACGGATATTGCCATGGCCTGTGAAAAACATATACTGTACAGTTAAATGGCACATTTAATAATAATTTTAATCTCTACAACATAAGTTACAACACATCTCTATGAATGGAAAACAAAATAATGCCGACAGTATACAGTATTGTATAAATTCGTTTATGTACATAATAAAATTTTACATGCATCAGAAGGGATAAATGACATACTAGATGTAAGGGAATGGACATCTTGAATGCAGCAAAGTGAGTGATAAGACAGCATGTTGTTGAATGGCATAAGGGGATATTACAGTAGATTGAATGGATAACAAATGAAAATTGAGTGTGTGTTGGCTCTTAGATCAATCACCAGGTAGCATAGTGAGAGAGACCTTTAGAGCTAGAAAAAAAAATCTATAGTACACCTAAGAAACATATCATACAGCTTTTAGTTTAGTTTAACAAATTTATTGACAAAGCTTGGAGTACTGTTTGCCTATTCTGAGTAATTCAAGTCAGGTCTTGACACTGAGGGTGGTATCACTTCTCACTGCCACACATATATATATATATATATATATATACATATATATATATATATACATATATATATATACATATATATATATACATATATATATACATATACATATATATACATATATATATATATACATATATATATATATATATATATATATATATATATATATATATATATATATATATATATATATATATATATATATATATATATATATATATATATATATATATATATATATATATATATATACATATACATATATATACATATACATATATATACATATATATATATATATATATATATATATATATATATATATATATATATATATATATATATATATATATATATATATATATACATATATATACATATATATATACATATATATATATATATATATATATATATATATATATATATATATATATATATATATATATATATATATATATATATATATATATATATATATTATATATATATATATATGCAAGTAAATCACTGTAGGTGCACGTGACCCAGGTATATGCCATGCAGGACAGAAGTTCGTACACAAAGAAATGCATCATATTCATTAGCAGTACGAGTATACTGTATATAGGTCTGAGTCATGTGGGTGATGTCCCTGTTCGCTGCCATGCAAGACAGTGGTTCATATACATTGAAAGTCATATTCTAATTGAAGACTAATCAGTGGGCTAGCAAATTTGGGATAAACAGCAAGAATGTCCCCAACCACCCCCGATTCAATATAGTAATTACAAAGTTCATGATACAATAAGCCAGGTGGCCTGAAGTTTTTGACAGTTTCACATTCAATAATATAGTGTTCAAGTGTATGCTTTAAAGGTTTATCACAAAGTTTACATGCTGAGTGTTCCGGTATGGGTACAGCGTTACTAACTTGCCAGATGTGTCTGTATCCTAGCCTAATTCTGACCACGATTACATCACATTGTCTGGTTATGTCCTTATGCTAGCCATACCGGTACCTCTTGTCACAAAATTTTTCATATTTACTAATGCTACAACTGCCAGGTGTCTCTGCATTTCTCAGTTCTTCTAGATCAGAGTTCATGATTCTGACTTGAATATTTTTAAGTACAGCATTGGACAGGCCAAGGTCACGGTCACCATTTTCTTTCTTACATGCCTCATTGGCCAGTCTATCAGCACGGTCATGATACCTAATTCCAACAGGGAACGGAATCCACACAAATTCGATACGATAGTTGTTCTCATTGGCAGTTATCACATTTCTTTTAATATCACAAACAACTTTAGACATAGAACCTGACAGGCTGTTCATTGATTTCAAAGCACTTTGAGAGTCACAGAATATCACCCCACCTCCATTTTCTTTAAGGTAGTCTGTAGCTAAGTAGATTCCAGTTAGTTCAGTTTGTGTCTTGCTGGCACAGTTATTCAGCCTTTGCTTGTTTGACATGATCATCTCTTTTTCTTTATATATTACAATTGAACAGTCTGTTCTACCTGTGTTTGTCTGCACAGAACCATCAGTAAAAGCATAACATTCACTTGATTTAATACACTCTGTGTCTGTTAATAGTTTCTAGTGTGACACATCTCATCACATCGGTGTTTAACATTTGCTTAGTACCAACAGGAGTGTAATTAATAGGAACTGATATATCCAGCCAAAGAGGAATGGCATTAATGGGTTCGTCTGGGGTGATTGGGACATTCAGTTTCAAGAGATCTGTAACACTTTTATGAAGCCACGCCCCAAAGAGAGTCTTTTGTGGAAGGTTGGCGAGATGGTCGGGATTACTTAGATAGAACATCAACTCAGTTTGAGTTGTAGTTTGGGGACCATTGTTCTTCAAAACTTTGACACAAAACATGGTATTAAGTAGAGCTATCCTCGCAGATGGGGAGGGCAGTCCGAGCTCTTTCCTTATGTTTACAATTCTGGTTGATTTTGGGCATCCTAGAATGATGTGCATGGATTCATTTTGCACTACCTCAAGGCTGTTGAGTTGTTTAGGCAGAATAGGCACAAGATGGAGAGCATGATATTCAACTACAGAACGAATGAAGTGAAGTAAAAAGGTACGAGCATAGGTGATGTTAATTCCATAGCCTATGCCAACAAGGATTTTGAGGGGTTTAATGCGCTGCATTAGTTTGGCACGAAGGTTGCCGACAAAGTTTGCATCATTCACACAAATTCCAAGATAATTATAAAAGCTACATAGTTCCAAGAGCATGCTGTTAATGTTAAAGTCAAGAGGCAGAGGGTGAGCAGGACGAGGATTGAGGACCCTCGTCTTGTCAACATATTATGAGACAACGTTCCACAGTCCTCCAAGCAAATACATCCAGCAAGGCTTGGAGCCTGAGCTTGGTCTGTGCCATAATGCAGATATCATCAGCATAGCATATTACAGCCTCATTTGGCTGAACTGGAATGTCAGCAATAAGCTTGTGCATCAGTATATTAAAGAGAATATGACTTAACACTCCTCCCTGAGGCATGCCAAGCTCAACTGATCTCATTCTGGCACTTTTGACTCCCCCTAAACAGAACACTGGCATACCTGTTGGACAGATAACCCTTTATCCATGTCAGGAGGTTACTTTGGATGCCAAAATTAGCTAGTTGCTCATGTATAATGTCTCTATTAGCTACATCAAAGGCTGATTTAAGGTCTATGAAGGCTGTTTGTGTCTTATCTTTTGAGTGAACAAGATATTCTGCAAAGCATGTCTGTGTGCTGTTCCCGGGCATGAACCCATGCAGATTAGGGGCCAGTTTGTCTTTGACTTGAAACATGAGACGGTTGAGAACAACTCTTTCAAGGACTTTACACATACAGGATGCGAGTGAAATGGGCCTGAAGTTTGGAGAGTTGGCTTTAGGGATTGGTACTATGTTTCCATGAGTCCATGTCTTAGGCAGAATACCCTGTGTGAGGCTCATTTGATACAGGTCAAGCAGTGGATGGTTAGGGATCTCATATAACTATTTCAGGGTGTTATAGGTTATGCCATCCTCACCAGGGGAGGATGATTCACCTTTTATTAGTGCTGTTGTTAGTTTGTGGTGCATTATAGGAAACTGGTCAGTAAGGTCTGGTGAGGAACAAGCTATTTCAATATTGAAACCCCTATTAATGTGTGTGGTTTTAAGATATTGCTGTATGTCAGGAGGCAGGGAAGTGATTTGTGACACACTAGACCATTAGTCTACTAGCATGTCAGCATATTCCGCAGGGCTGTGATGAAGTTGAACTGGGGTGGGTGAATTGTTAATGGCTCTAATTTTGTTCCACACTTCTGCTAGAGTGGTTGTTCTATTAATCCCCTGTAAGAATTGTTCCCAATAGGTGTTTCTCACCTGACCTTTGAGTTCACGAAATGCTCTGTAAGCTTTGAGAAATGCCAGGAGGTTATCACTAGTTTTATTTTGCTTATAAGTGTTGGGCAAGTTGTTCTACCTTCTCTCCTTCTTTGGTGAGGATGGGGTCATGTGTCCACAGAGGTGCATGAACATTCTCTAGCTTCATGACTATGTAAGAGTAAAAAGACTAGGGTTTAATCCAGAAAGAATAAATTTATCATCCTTGTAAAGCAATAATGACAAATTAATGTTAGAGTGAATGGGAAGGGATGTTGTGAATGAATTAGAGGATGTAGGATCATTGTTTACTAATACAGTACTGGTAGTGAAAAAGCAGGGAATGATAGTTGAGCAATGTAAGGCAGGAATGTTAAATGCAATGAGTGTGCTATTGAAAGTAAAATGTGAGAGCAGCCGAACGGATTGGAAACTACAGGCATCTTTAGCAGAAACTTGTCACAAAAAGAGCAGTACAGTATTGCTAATAACCTGTACAGAATATCATTATAAAAAGAAAAAAGAAAGACAAATGAGAATAAAATTGAGAATTATTTAGCAAGGATATTAATGAAAAATAACACATAAAGGTATGCTGATATAATTTGATTACCTAGAATTATACATGTTTTTTATTAAATTCAGGATTTTCTTAGAAATCTGGAATGTAAATAAACTTTTCTAAAAAGATAGATATATGCTATCATCATGAAAATGGAAGGAGAGAGCTAAAAAGATACCATACATGTATATTATCATAATGAAAAGAAAGGGTTAATATTCACCTGTCAGAGGCAAAGTTCGTGATTCAAGCAGTGGTACCAAAATAGAAATGACATCCATAGGTGCATAATCCAGGTCCTCTAGCAAAATCCAATAGCCTTTAGTTACTGCCTGAAACAAAATAAAGTCTGTGTCATTAACTAATGCACAAATCTGGACAATCAAGCATGACTACTTGAACATCCAGAAACAGTTAAGGTACTTAAATTATTAAACGTTATTTAAATATTTGTAAATTATTCATAATCCATCATTACAAACAATGACATATGGGCTAGTTAGGTCCAACAACCCAAATGTAAATGATTGTTTCTTTTTGTCTCATTCCACACTTTTCCAAGCAAATTATTGGTCATTTTGAAATTTATTTTACATATTGATAATATATAATGCAGTGCAGTGTTCATTTAAAGAAAATAATCTTGAATTACACCAAGTGAACTAAAATTTTATGGGTGAAATGGCGCCATGGGGTGACTTCTCTTCCACCCCAATGCCTTCTCTTCTCCCTTCTCCTCCACCCCCATTCTAATTCCCATCATCCAGGAGCCTTCTACATACACACCTTAAAGTAAGTGTACTTTACGACCTTTTTTGTTGACTTTAGGCAATTTTCGGTGAGCTGGAACCAATTACCCAAAAACCCATTGAAACAATGGTTTCGGTTAACGAATTTTTCGGTTAATGAACAACCTTCTGGAACGAATTGTGCTCGTTAACCGAAGGACCACTGTAATAAATGAGTTCTTTTTAAACAGTTTCAAAGTTAAATGATTGATTTTTATTATCAAACTTCTATATAAACAATGTGGTTCAAAGTTAAACAGTTACAGCTGCCCACTGCCTCTACACCAAATTTAATTAAAATCCTTCAAACCATTCTTGAGCTAAAATTCAGAAACTAGAACCACCAACCGACCCAGAGCTGAAATAAAATAAGTACAGTACTGTATGCAGAGAAAGATTACCTGTGTAAGTGAGCCAGGTCTCCAGACAAACTCTCCAGGAGTTTGCGTGCAGCAGTAGGTACCAAGAAGAGTCTTGCTGTCTGTCTGGTCTCCAAGCTGTACCTGTTTTGTCAAATGGAATATTCTAGTTATCTCCTGATCCTTAGTTAAATGAACTATCTATATAAGCTCAAAACAATCACATTAAGAAATATATCAGAGAATCTTACTAAGTAGTCTTAAATAATATGATTTTCAAACAATAAGATAATAATATAGCAAGTGGAAATCTCACTGTGCAAGAGACTAAAAGAGGTTACAAATATCATTGGGAAGCGGATAGGTAATATAACTGAAAGACTTAAAAGAACGTAGTCTTATGCAAGTGGGTGAAATTCTGAGTTAATTAGGAAGAACTAAAATTTAAGAATGCAGTGCTAAAAAGTATGACTGAAGTATTTGGGTACAAGAGAATAGGAATGAAAGACAAAAATATGGAATGGAGGGATTGGATGTTGGCAATTTTAATTAACGAGAGGAGGGCACATGAGCCCCATTTGTAAGTAAGAGAAATAAAGAAACACAAGAGTATTGAGATCGTTGAAAGTATATTAAGAAAATGGTACAGAATGCAGAAGACAGGAAGATGAAAGAAAAGAAAGGTTGTCACATGATTTGTAATTTGTGCTGGAAGGAACTAAAGAGAGAAAACTAAGAGAACAAATGGAAATGGCAGTTAAGAATGAAATACAGATGCAGTATATTGTAAACAAAAGGGAGATAGAGAAAAAATATATACAGCGGATGACAAAGAAGCAGCGTTATCTTGCTTGGGAAAAAAGAAAAGTATCAAAAAGAAATAAGAAAAAATCAAGTGAGATAAGAGTGAGACACTCTGTAAGCTTAGACACAGACATATAATTGCACCAGTGAGACTTGGATGTTCTTTCTGTACACAAACATTAGAAGAAACAAAGCCTGTTAAATTAAGTCACGGACACTATAAAAAACCTAAAGGTAAGTCCGTTGGATGATGTCAAATTTTTTGCCGATGGAATTAACACTTCTGTGAATGAATTGTGAGAAGTGGAGGAGCAAGTCCAGGATGTGTACGTTAAACTAGCAATGTCCAACAGTCAGTCATTTAATTTTATCTACTAGCAATAGTTTCTTATTAAACCAAAAACAATTTAATGTGCATTATAGTTTTATTATCCCCTGAACTGGTTTAAAGTTTCAAAACAAAATCCCCATAGTTTCCGGAAGGAATAACGGAACACTGGGGGCAAACAGGTGGAGAGCAATCTTACAGTCCCCTCTGTGAAAGCAGAAGTCAAATAAACTAAATATGTGAGTTATTATGTCATTACCTTAGTTAAAAACGGAGCTTTAAATCTTCCAGTGACACAAGCTAAATGTTCAACTAGAGATGTCTTTCCACTGCCAACAACTCCTTCAATTAACACTGGATGACCTCGACACACTGCCAACGCTACACCCTCCAGGTTACGCTCAGTGGATGGAAGTGTCACCAAACAACCCTCTTTCTGTTAACAAAAATAAATATATTATTTTTAAGCCTGAAAGAATTCCCTCTCCCTAATATGACTTGATCAAAAACATATCAACTTCTGTCATCACCAGGTAACTTTGCTGGGATGAAAGAAACTAGGAGGAGAGGGTTATGCAAGTTCCACACAACCTTCATGCACATCAACCATGTCACTGAAGATTAGAAGACATTTAACTCATCAACTTATAAGAAGTCATTATAAGATTTAACAATTACAGAAAACACAAACACACTGAAATTAAAATTTTGGTTGAAACAATACTTTGGATATCTTGTAAATATAACAAAATAATAAAATGTGTTACACAGATCCACACACACTAAGGCACTACACCTATGGGTAATGTTTATTTAAACTAGAGCCATCAACTGAATGGCTTATCCCAATTCCAGGGTCATTAAGAGTACTTGGCATTTATGAGCACCTTTAATTTACATGACATCACTGAAAACACCTGCAAGATGATGTAGCATTATTATGAACACCATTCAGTGATTCTTTTGAGGTCACTATGAGCACCTGTGAGCTACTGCCTACTGGACATCATTAGGAGCACATGTAAGTACCATGGCATCTTTATGACCACCTGTGAGTTAACTGGTGTTATTATGAACTACCACTATGAGCACATGTGATTCCCTGAGGGTAGCTAGGAGCACCAGCAGTGAGTAACTACAAGCACATGCATCACTTGATAACATTATGTGCACCTGTAATTCATCAATATGTCACTGAAGTTGCCATATTTCAGGGGTAGAAATTCATCATTTTTTCAGTCGCCAGCAGGACTAGTAGATTTGAAAATTTACTCGTCCTTATAAATTTTTACTAGCCCTTAAACAAATTGTCAAGAAACATTAAACAGAGGCACTTACCGGGTTTGTACAAAGTTCTATTTACTGTGACATTTATTTACTAGTAGAAATCATGTTAAATCATAAACAAACACCGGAATAATCACATATTAACTAAATTATTAACATGAAGCACGGATTTACAGTGTGAACACTGGAATAATCACATATTAACTAAATTAATTGCACGGAGCACATATTTACTGTGTGACATTTATTTAGTTGTAGATCATGAACCAACACCGGACTAACTAAATTAATTGCATGGAGCACAGATTTACTGTGTGATATTTATTTAGTAGTAGAAATCATAAACCAACACTAGAATAATCACATTAACTAAATTAATTTCATGGAGCACAGATTTTTCATTGCATTTGAACAAGCATTTCCTGTACATGCTCCTCGTTCAACTCATTATTGTCGTCCAGATCTTCCACTGTGCTGCAGCCAGCAGTGTGAGTGTAGCCATCCACACGGCGGGCCCCAGTTGTTAGGAATCTGGCAATGGCTTTGTCCGGATTGAAGTTGCCAACACTCTCTGTTTGCAATTGAACCACCATGAGATCCGTCAGGTGGTCATGAGTGAAACGACTGCGCCAGTCTGCCTTAATGACCTAAAACCACGTTCAGCATCAGCCGAACTAGCTGGAATGGAAAGCAGTAAGTCAACCAGATGGAGAAATGAGGCACACCTTTCTCCGTATGATTGGTTGATATGTTGTCAAGACAGTCTTAAAACAAGTGATGTCTTACTCTTGTAAATGTAGCTTTTGAGAACAGTCCATTAATCCTCTACCAAAGTAGGATTCACCTCTGCCTCCATCAGTGTTTTCTCAAGAGCCTGGGCCAACGCTTGCACAGTGCTATCCCAGAAATCTTCATTCCCACTGTACTCTGCAGGCCACAATTTGAAATTCAGAATCCATGCGTTCTGGAGAATAGTACTGGCCATGTCAATAAATCTTTTGTTTAGACTTGAAATCAGTGATGTCAGCATATCACGCCTTGCAGTCTTGAAAGTGTTGCTTCTACCACTCAGCTTCTCTCCTTCGAACATGATTGTGTCACCTTCCATAATCCTTCTCAGGCTGGGTCCTGGCCAAGTCAAATATTTGTTAAGTACATCAGCTGCAGTCTGAAGTTCATTCACGATAGCAGAAATATTGGTTTGACCATGCTGGAACAGCTCTGAGAGGCCCCCCAAGGCACTGCACCACATCCAGTAGGAGGTGAAGGTACTGGACTATGTCAGCACTGGTTAAACGTAGCAGGTAGTTCTTAGATTTTCTGGATGAATCCTTGTGGTTCGCGGGATCATTGCTTTTATATATTATGTATAGAAATGAATTCCTCAATAATAATTGTATATCTACATAATTAGACTGCGTTTGTTCATTACAATGCACAGTGTCCATACACCGACATGAATAGCGGTGATATCTGTGTGTGACATCATACAATCCCTGAACAGGCCTGGTGTTCTAGGTGGTATTGCACCAACTCATTTGTCCAATCTTATCACACTACAATATATCATTGAGTATATATATTTTATTTTCCTATAAAGTGTTATATACAGAAAATGGGTATCCCTTCTGCTTGCAATACCGGTGATACAATTAAGATAACTAGCATTAATAGTGTATTCTCTATAAGAAGCTCTTATACACATTGAGTGTGTCTTACCACTGTCATCAGCCCACTCGCCCATCAGGCGATCCCAGACCAGCAAACGAGTAAAATCTTGTCGCCTCGGGCGACTGGGCATATGTGAACTTCTACCCCTGTATTTTGAAGGCCTCTAGCCTCCTTGCATTCCCAACTAAAAATGTCTATACTTCTGACCCATACAATAGCACTGACCATACATTACATTCAATAACTGTTTTCTCAAGCTAGAATTTATGCTCCCTTTTTACAAATCTATGAAATTTTTCAATATTGTTTCTGCTTGAACAAATCTTGTTTAAACTGAATTTCTCTCTGTCAGCTATCATCACATCTAGTGTTACTTCCTAAATACATTCAATTTTCCAGCTGTTTAAGTTCACAATGCCTATCATGACTATTATGTACAGTATTACATAACTTATTTTTAAGTTGGGTATAAGATGTTACTTCCATTTTTACATAAAAATAATAGAGTTTTACCTGAAATTTCCTATCGTAGAGAGGAAGGGAAACTCCACTAACAGTGACACTATGTCGAGACACTAGACAGCCCTCTCTCGACTCCTCCTGGGCCCACACAGCTGGCAGTACAGGGCGTGTTGCCCCTCCATTTTGTATTGTCAATCTTCTGTGAGTCTCCAATGAAACATTTTTCATGATTAAAGATTCTTGTTGCATCTCACTCATCCTGGATAAAAGTGCAATGCAGTGACATGCCAACCTGTGGGAAAACAGATATAAAACCATTTGGTAAAAATGTAAACATTATAAGAAATTATTAAAGATTCACTAATTATGAAGTTAACAGAATTAGTTACCTGCATCTTAAATACTAATGCAAAAAAACATCTGAACTGCTTCCAGCTTCTGCACCTCAAGACAGACTGACACTAACTTAGTGTCACTATATCTTTATGGTTAAAGTACTCCAAATAGCATTAAGTTACTTTGCTGAAAAGTTTTCATTTTTTTCTTAATGCTAATAGTTGTTAGTCATAAATAAAACATAAGCATTCTCAATTTCAATTAGATAGTGACACTAAAAGATGAAAATGTAAAGTGAAACCTCACTAATTCGATTATCAAATAATTCTAGTTAAACACATTTGGGTTAATTGCAAATGTCTACATAATCAGTCTTTCATCCAGCACTTTAGAGACAAATTAACAAAAGATGTTCAAGCTCCAATGATCCAGAACAAAAGAACTAGACAAAATTCCCAATTTCCACTTCCGACCTTTCTGAACCATCTTGGAAGCTTTGGAATCATGACTCTAAAGTTCTTACCACAATAAGTAACCATAAATCAGTGCACCCAACCTTAAGCCCTTGCCACCTTTATGCCAATCAATTTCTGACCATTTTTCCTTAAAACCAAGGGAGAAGAGATAGAATCAGCCTAAATCTCTCTTGGTTATTGAACATAAAAAAACAACAAATATATACAGTACAGTGGTCCCTTGGTTAACGAACACAATTCATTCCAGAGTCGTTCGTTAGCCAAAAATTTTGTTAACCAAATCCACTGTTTCAATGGGATATTGGGTAATTGGTTCCAGCTCACAGAAAAGTACATACAGTACAAAGTAAAAAATAAATAAAAAATGCAGTAAGGTACACTTACTTTTGAGGTGTGTATGTAGAAGGTTCCTGTTGATGATGATGATGAGAATTGGAGGTGGGGGTGGAGAAGAAGGGAGAAGAGAAGGAAGTGGGGATGGAGGAGAAATCACCTTTCAGGGGACCCATGCTTGATGCAGTAATTTCACCAATAAAATTTATTATCGCTAACTGAACAAAACGTAGTACAGTCGGCCCTTAACATATACGGGGGTTAGGTAACAGAGATACCCGTGAATGTTAAAAATCCGTGTACTATTGCTGCCCCCCCCCCCAATGCTCGCTGGCTACCTCCCTCCTTGTGTTCCCAGACAAAAGATTGGTGATCACTTTATTCTTTAAGGTGTTTATTTTTATAATATCTCAGACTAAAGTTAGGAGTTTATAATTTGCATTGCTGGAATCCTTGCAAGACAGCCAATAATTTGAATATAAACGTCATATATTTTGCTCAAGAGATAAAAATTGTTGTGCATTAGTGTACAGTACTGGTTTTCAGTTAAAAAACTGTTGTATTACAATAATATTCCCTCCTAATTGTCTTGAATAAATACTTGAATGGAAATATACAATATTTTTGTTGAAACTACCCGTGTTTCAGTGAAAAGTGTCGTAATAATAAATGGTAAACAATTTGCCTTCGGCACTGTGTTTCAGGCACGGCGAGCCTCAGTTTACAGTATATGACTTAGTGTTTTTACTAAAGGTTTTGTTGTTCCAATACCCTAAAAATCTTGGGTCCACCTATAAACAAGGAATATCATAAATTAACGATTTTTTGGTCAAAAAATCAGGGTCGACTTACAATGCTGATGTCAACACAAGCGTGGTTACAGCGAGACTGACTGAGTGAGGGAGCGCGGGGTGGCGTGACGCGTGTGTGGGGTGGCGGGCGGTGTGGGGCGGCGGGCGGTGTGGGGCGGCGGGCGGTGTGGGGCGGCGGGCGGTGTGGGGCGGCGGGCGGTGCCGCGCGCGATTTGAATGTACTTTAATTACTTCAATGTACAGAATATTTCTTCGGCGGGGCAATCCGCGTATTTGCGAATCCGTGTATGCTAAACCCGCGTATGTGAAGGGCCGACTGTATTCTATAAGAAACATAGCTATTGAAGAATACACCATATAACAATACAGTATTCATAAGTGATGCATCTAACATTACTGTACTAACCATTGTACTTCCTCACAGTGGTGATGCATGTAAGACAAGAGGTGTGACCACTTCCACATGTGAATTAAGTCTCCACCAACATGCCTTAGGAGATCATAAGTTGCCTGTAACAATTCCTTTTCTGTGACAGTAGGTGTTTGTTGCTTCTGCTTCTTTCTCTTTTTAGTAGATGGTTCACTGCAGTCTTCATCTTCCTTTTGAAATGGTGCTGCTGCATCTTGGAAATAAACAAGTACAAATCTGCATAGAAAAAAAAATTATTTACTGGTAGAATAAGCATATTAAGTAGTGTAAATAAATATAACATTCATATCATTAATCCAACATACAGTACTGTATATTCAATCTATGGAAATGTAACACCCAAGAGGAAAATTACTTTTCTAAGTGATGTCCAGAGGCTTCATGTCGGGTCATAGTGATATTTTTGAGCAATAGTCTTAGAAGTTCTCTGTCAATAGCAGGCAACTAGGTAATAGATTTCAAAATGTTGGGCTGATATTGACTTCTTGATATCAAAGATGGTAGACAATAAACTTTATCTCACAAGAGCAACTGTTGTAACTGATCATTGGGGGTAATGGGTGTGACGACAAGGGAAAGTTGAGAGGCACCACCAAAAATAGGATAACAGATCAACCCTGGTTTACATTATGGAGGATGGTAGGAAAATCCTGATTATCTTACTAAAGGACATATGATAGAAAACAAGCCAATGAATTTTAAGAAATTAATGTTAATTTGAATGGAGACAGAATGGTGGAAGAAGTGTTTTGGGTATTGGGAAATAGATGCATGAGGGAAAGAAACATGGCCGATGAACTGAATCATTAAAGTAGCCAAGGAAAAGAAGGTACCGTAGCCTGGTACCCTAAATATAACAGTTGCACTGAAAGTGTATGGAGAGATAAAATTACATCAAAGGGGCCAAAGATGGGGTTATACAGAAGAATAACTGATCTGACAGTAATGTACTACAGCAGGCATTAACCCCTTTACTATGGGAATGCTACTTTCACTATTTTAATTGGCTAATGCCAGGCGATTTTATTGAGCACAAAGAAACCCCTCTACACAAGGAATTAAGTATGGACACAGAATGCAAGAGTAAGACGCTGGACAGAAACAGTAGAAACGATATACAGTACAAGAGAACAATATGCAAGAAGAATAGGATGCAGAGAATAATACAATATAAAAATAAGGATCAAATGTCGGTGTCAGATAGCAACCAGACCAGGATATACTAACATGGTAGAAATATACAGCACTGTACTGAGTGAAAGGGAAGCAGAATATTGGCAAACAGATTCTATAATTATGAGGTGCATGGCATTACATAAAGGAGAATACAAAGAAAGTGATGGAAAGATTGAGGAAAGTGCTGAATGGGATGAGGTGCACTGGCCAGATAAAACACTTGCCTCCTGTCATAAGGGTGCTGAAGGGGGGTCAAGTACAGTGCTAGTCGTGCTGGACACAACATAATGTGTGGACACAACATAATGTTGTGTCCACAATGTCCCTAGTATACCATCAGGCCTATGGGGGACACACTCACCTTTTCAGTGAACAGAAGAGGGATAAAAAATAAATAAAAAAATAAATAAATATAAATAAAGCTGTTGGCATGCACTGATCACAATGAATGGTGTCAAGTAGTGTATGGGAGTAGAATTACATACTGTCTACTGTACCTGTAATGGCAAATGGAAGAGAAAATTTCAGCTACTGTAATGCACAACCACCAAAACTTAAGTCACTGAAACACAGGATTAACCACAGTAATTGGTTCGCCTAGGTTACAGTTCTTAGGGAGAAATATCAACTTACCTGACAACTTCGCTACTGATGGTAACAAGCTTGCTGAGGGCCAAACAAATAGCAAAGTGAAGGGATTTCCCTCCACCGGTTTGGATGGTTTTAATGGAAGCAGCTCGAGACCTTCCCAGGAGCTCCAGGAGCCATGGGCGCAACTGTACACCAACTATTAGAGTTAACTGTGGATCCAGGAGAGCTTGTGCACATGTCCGAAGCACCTGTTCCCAATCATTCTGGTTCCAGTTCTGAAAGATAAAATCTCACATTGTCATCCTAATAATAACCCCCTTCCAGTCACACTGATACTTATGACTACATCATTGTTTTATATAATTTTACAACATAACATCAGTACAAAATAACAAAGTGAAAAATGTAGGGTTGATCCAGAAACCCAATGAAGCCCTGACTTAGAAAATAAGAATGGAGGAAACTGCAGCGGGCCTACTGTCCCATACTAGGCAGCCCCGGTTACACCCAACCCATATCACTCATATACAAGTATATGTCCAACCTATATTTGAAGCTTCCCATACATTTGATATCCTCATTAGCCAGAATAATTGGTGCAGAGCAGTTCTGGGGTTGAGAGATTTTCCAGGTATGGAGACGAATTTTCTTAACCCCCAGAATTTTTCAGGGACAGATACAAAGCTGTATTTATTTATGCAAACATCACTGCACACATACAATATATTGTAAATAAAAGAACAGTATACCCTGCACTACAGTATAGTCTCGATTTAAACGGATTTCGTTTATGCGTTTGGTCAGTTACGCGGCACCTTGCCAGACCGACAATTTTTATTTACACGGTTCATTCCATTATTTATATGGGAAGCGACGCGGGCAAGGTGCGCACAAGGTCGCCCAGTCAACAAAACATTACCGAGTTCTTCACCCGCCACCCACCACAGCCAGCCCAAGTCAGTGATAGTGAGGATATGGACTTTGAGGGGTTTGACAAAGAGGCCCTGCAAGCCTCTGTGGTGGATAGCGATACAGGTGATACAAGTAATACAGGTGAGGGCCAATAATCTGCCCTCTGCCTCAGAACCAACCCCCCCATCCCCGTGTGCCCAGCCATTTCTTCTACTAACGTAAGTGTTAAAAAACCTAATATTATTGATATTTCTCTGAAATATTAATTGTGTGTGCATACCATCATAAAATTAAGATGTTATTTTTACTACAACGTACGTATTGTGTCGGAAAAAGGGTAGTCTGGGAGTCGGCCCAGTCTCTATTTCAATTAATCCCCTATGTTCTGTTATTTCGTTTACGTGGACCTCCACGGGTTCAATTGACCGCGTAAATGAAGACTATACTGTACTGTATGCACTGATGCTATCGTGTTGAGTTTGCTTGTAATGCAGGCAGGCCAAATGGTGATGTGATGATATAGTATAGCCTGCCTTTGTCCTGTACCATCTTCGGTAGCCAGTGTTGCTGTCACACTCCTCTCTTTCCTTGAAGGAGGGATTGTACACACTGTATACTGTACATACACAATCTACACACTAGCATACACCGTCCACTCTGTTATGTACAATACTGTACATATGGTACTTTCACGTTTACTGAAAGTACAGTACAGTATACATAACTGTAATCATGTTTTACTTCTTAACATTGCTTTAATGGTATTCTTGGCTGATTATATGCTGGTACAATATAGTACTGTACTGTAATGCAAAACACAGATCGTATGCGAAAATAGCAGTGGGTGAGAAAACAAGCTTGTACAATGGCAGCAGACAATGAACTAAGAGTGTCATGATGTTAGAGTTTGAGGAGACAGGCTGTGAGATATGAGGTCTGTCCAAAGAGAAACCAAATTTTTTAAAAAACAAATTTTTTGCTTTACTGACAACTTAATCAGACTTGTCTTCTTCAAAGTACTCCCCTCCACTGCTGATACACCGCTCCCAACGTTTTTTTTTCCAGTTCTGGAACGCATTTTGAGGGCTGGTGCACAGGTCTCATAGCGAATTTTTCTATCGTCTGAAATCGGCGACCCTATCAGGGTGGATTTCAACTTTGGAAACAAAAAAAAGTCCGCAAGGGCCAAATCCGGAGAGAAGGGCAGCTGGGGGACAATAGTTGTCTCGTGCTTCACCAAAAAGTCACAGATAAGGAGTGACGTGTGAGCAGGTGCATTGTCGTGGTGCAACATCCATGTCTTGTTTGTCCACGCCTCAGGCCTCTTCCTTCGCACTGCCTCCCTCAAACGCTTCAGGACCTCCAAGTAAAACTCTTTATTGACTGTCTGACCACGTGGAACAAACTCATGATGAACGACGCCCTTCCAATCAAAAAAGACGATCAACATCACCTCCACATTTGAGTGACTCTGACGTCCAGATTTGGGATCGTCTTTGGTGGATGTTCTTCCCCTTTGGAAACGCTGTTACCACACGTGCCATTGCGTGCTGCTCAAACAATCCTCCCCATAAGCCTGTTGCAACATTTGAAAAGTCTTCTTAAAAGTTTTCCCAATTTGAAACAGAATTTCACGTAAACATGTTGCTCTTCAAGATCCTTCATTGTTCAACTTGCAACAAATCGCCACGTGCACTAAACACACCTTCACTCTAGCGCGTGTAGCTCGATGACTAATTGACGTGGCGTGATGAGGCTAGTGTTAGACTAAAGGTCAAAGTCACCGCTACACAGTGCTCCCATCTTGAGCACGCTGCGCCGGCTCGTTGGCGCACTATTTAAAAAGTTTGGTTTCTTTTTGGGCAGACCTCGTACATCAGCCAATCATAGGCATCCCATGCAGTCACATGACAGTATGTAGTAGCTAATCATAGCTAATGAGCACTCTGAACCTACCCATCCTCACACCTGGCACATGTTAAAAACATGATACAATCTGTCTGAAATTTGTTCCCATGTTTGTAACAGAAATTTTCTTGGAATATTCCACAAATGTGCATGATGCAATCCTTGGAAATTTGTTCCATGTCCAGAATGGAGAGATTTTTCCTCGAATTTTTTGGAATGCTCAATTGTTTTCCGGCTACTGGCGAGTTGCCGGGATTGAAGATTCCGGCTAATGGAGAGATTACTTGTATTTTATTTTAATTCATCATATCACCACTTATCAGCTTACTAGCCATTTGGGTAATTGGTCGGTTGTTTTGTTACAACCTTCATTGACCAGTGTTAACACAGGAGGAAACCGAAAGGTAAAATTTCACTTGTTGCCACCCAAAGAATTTTAAGAATATTATGGTTGCAATCAATAGTTTAGACAATTCTAAGACACTTTTCAGTAATTTTTTTTAGAAAATGACACCAGGCAACTGAGTACTGTATTGAAAATATGTTTTTCTTGTATAAATCACCAAGTTAAATAGAAATATGACCCTCATTGCCATTGGAAATGAGCAGTACGTAGTTGAGATGTTGGAAAAAAGTGGAAGGTCAAACAATGTAAAAAAAAAAAAAAAAAACCTAACCTAACCCCTAGTGTGCAGCGATCCCTCGGTTAACGAGCGCCTCAGTAAACGAGATTTCGGTTAACGAGTTACCTTCCATAAGATTCTTAACTTCGGTTAACGAGCAATCCCTCGATTAACGAGTTTCTTACGAGCCGACCTCAACATGTTTTCGCTTGCATTTGACGGTCCACCAGCTGTAGTACAGTATTAGTCCGCCAATCCAGTAATCGGTTTTAGGGCTTAAATTCCATACTATTTTAGTAAATATCAAGAAGTTTATACTATTCAATAATTTTAAGTTTAATATTAAATTTTTTTTAGTCATTTTAACAATTATTGAACATAATTGAAGGTAAGGAAACTAGTTTCATGCAAACCATCCAGCCTGGCAACACACCAAACAGGCGCCAGTCTCTCTGTCTTTTCAGTGGAAGTAACATCTTGCTTGAGACTCTCTTCAACTAAATGCTTTTTTTTCTGTGTTTCCAAGCAAATTATTGGTCATTTTGAAATTTATTTTACATATTGACAATATATAATGCAGTGCAGTGTTGATTTAAAGAAAATAATCTTGAATTACACCAAGAGAAATAAATTTTATGGGTGAAATGGCGCCATGGGGTGACTTCTCTTCCACCCCAATGCCTTCTCTTCTCCCTTCTCCTCCACCTCCATTCTAATTCCCATCATCATCATCATCACCCAGGAGCCTTCTACATACACACCTCAAAGTAAGTGTACTTTTCTACCATTTTTGTTGAATTTAGGCAATTTTTGGTGAGCTGGAATCAATTACCCAAAAACCCATTGAAACAATGGTTTCGGTTAACGAGCAACTTTCTAGAACGGATTGTGCTCGTTAACCGAGGGACCAATGTATATGAAACTTACCTTAAGTAAGATATAAGAGGATAGAGTGATACGACTTGAATGAGGAAGTGGCGTCTTTGTCAGTGTCCATCTCTTATCACAATACCATGCATGGCGATCTACACGGTATTGATTCTCTGAATTACATCTCGGACACTTTACAGATGAAACAAAAACAGTGAGCCCTAAAAATGACAACAGCTGCTGCTTCATTGTCCAAAATGCACTGAATAATGTGGCAGCCAGCTAATGTACATCCATCTCACACAGACGCCATCTTCCAAATGGCCGCGAATGCGGATTAGCGCACGATTTTACATCACATCAACACTCACGCTGATTGCAGTGGCAGTGCCAAGGGGTGACTGCAGCCTCCCCATAATCTCCATCAGCCCCCCAGAAGCCACCCCAAATAATAATAAGGCACTTTGTCGGAATAGCCTTCCCAAAAACTTTATCATACGCTGTGAAAATTCATGACAGGTATCTAGAAAGATGCAGTTCATTTGTGTGAAGCAGCTGGTACTGATGTTCAACAAGAAAAAGTGCGATAACGATCTCAGCCACGTCATTTACAGAAGTTTGTTGTTGGTTCTCAACTTGGATATCATCAGAAAATGACTACTTCATGAATTTTGTACACATGCTTACTTTCCTGTCATAGGCAAGTTAGTCAATGAATTAAACAGACGATTTTCAAACAACTCGTGTAGCATTCTAAAGGGTTCATCAGCACCGAATCCTCAAGATGTTTCTTTTCTGGAGAAATCTTGTATTCTGGCGATGGCATTTCACTATGGTATCAAAGAGGAAAATTTAAGTGTTGAGCTTCATCAAGTACGACTTCTTCTTGAGAGAAATAAACAACAGGGTCATACTATCACTTTTCCACTTGAATTTGCTACTTTGCTCAAACCATACCGTGA